AGGCATTGCGGCTGGGGCTGTTGCAGCTCTTCTCAGGCTACCGGATGAGTTAAACAGTGTCAGACTAGCAAGTTAAAAATTTCACAAGTTACCACGGGCTATGTCATGACCCATGAGTCTTATGCTATGTTAGATGACACCTTAATATACCGCGGTGCTATGAATACAGGAGCTTACGTGAGGATTAGGACTGAGGTCCCGATGCTGCTGCCACGCAGAGACTTCAGGAGTTCACTGGCAACGTCCGCTTCCCTACATGTGGAAGCTGGACAAGATAGTGGGACGTGGAATCCGTCCCCTGTAGAAAGGAAAGCTTCTTCTCTCTCTTGTTGAATAGAATCAAGTCCGAATCCCATAAGAAAGGAGTCTGAGAACGTAGCTTTAAGCCTTCAGTCCGTGATATAGGAAAGACACGGAAGAAGTGGAAATGATACAGGGAGCGAACACTAAGATGCCACCTAGCACTTGGCTAATGTGCGGCAGGAGGCGGAATGGGACACAAGATATAACAGGGTCTCACTGATGTGGGGCTGAATCATAAAATTCGACTTTAACGTTCAATCAGTTTGGCAGTACTTTTAGGATGAGCAGGTAGAATGACACGACGCATCCTGAGACACACACAGGTGACTATTTGTACTGTTTATGTCCCATGACAAAGAACTTGACAGTTGTCGGCGGAAAGGTGATTTGAAGGATGCGCAATGGGTAAGGAGACAGGGCTCCGCACCGGATGGGTTTTAACTCCTGCTCTCTGCACTTTGAAAGCCTTGTTGACAGTAAAATTATCGTAGGTCACGATATACGTATTTATTTTCAGTTTTTCTTTTACAAAAGCCCAGTTTTCCAATTTGTCTTTGCTGGGACAGGGTGGCTCACGGTAGCTATCTAGCTAATATGGTAAAATATGTCGGCACATGGGCACGGACATACCTCGTGGCGTTGTTGCTTCAAGAGTTTAAGGTGAGTTTTCGTGGCGATATGATTGGGGAGGGCTTTCTTCGGTAGGAGAAGAACGCTTATGAAAAGCTACATTTACAAATGCTTGTATTGTTTTGTTGATTTATCGGCAGAAAATGCAACGTCCCATATTTAACCAGAATGTAGCAGCTCTCCCAGGCAAATATCAACACCTGTAGCGTGGCTTATTATGAGTGCTCAGCACTTCAACATGAGCACCTCTCTTAACTCTCCCAGAGCTCTTAAAGGCCAGGAAATCATTTTTTTCAAGGCTGTTAACTAAAATATTTGTAGAAAATGTATATTTTTTTTCGTGCCACCCTGATATAATTCTCTGATACTGTTTACCCTACTTAGTGAAGATCACTTTATAACTGGCACTGGGGGAAAGGATTGTTTTCTTGTCTTTTCTCGATGAGACAAATCGAGATGGGGGAGGGTGAGCAGCACGTGGGCACGGAGAAGACGCAGGGTGGGAGGGAAGACAGGTCAGTGCCCTGGAGCACGCTGCAGGGGTTCAGGGTCCCTGGACCCTCCTCCCTGCAGCGTGTGCGTTGGCGTGGGGGCGCCAGGGGAGGCTCTTGGCTTGGTCTGTGAGCGGTCGAAGCCCAAGTAGGAAAGAGCAACCTGGAGGGAAAGTGTTAGGTTGATGCAAAAGTAATTTTAGCACTGTTGAAATTTGCCATTTGGTGTTGGAATACGTTCTTAAATAAATGTGGTTATGTTTTACATCAGTTTAATGTGCATTTAAAATTCACAGTCCCGAAACCACAATTGCTTTTGCACCAACCTAAATATTAATAGAAAGGAATCTCTTTTAACCTATAGAGAATAACTTTATTTTAAAATGAGATGGAAATCATTGATAAGAATTAGGAGTACTTTTGTTCCAAACAAAAGTTTTAAAAAGAAAGAAACAAACAAACAAAAAAAACCCCTTAGGTTTAATTTTTTGAAATGGCCATTGCTTTGAATTTTTGGCAGGAAAAGTGACTCTGTCAATGTACAATAGACATTTTTACAAGGAAAGGAGGGATCTTGATATTCCAACAGGCATGGGTTTATGCTGGTTTAGGAGCGTCATTAGATTCCATTTGTCTTCCTAAAGTGTTTGATGTTACTTTAGATAATCCAAGGCTTACCCTGATGTTATGCACGGATAACAAGGATGAATAAAAATCCACAGAAAATTAACAAGTATTTATTTCCAGCCCTTATTTATAAAGACATTCCCAACCAGTTCTATTCGAGCTGTCTGCAGGAATCAAACTCAATTTACTCTTCCTACCCCTATTCCTCTCTGTGAACCCATGGGCTTACGGTGGTAATAAGGTACAATAGCTATAAGAAGGGAGATTGAACTTAAATAACAACTCAAAACCGAGCGCACAGCAGGGATGACAAAGTCACGTGTGTTCTCTCTTCCCATACTTTAGGGTATTCCTGCAGACTGGTATCACAGAACATGGCCCTTATCCTATTGAAGGAGGATTCTTTGGATGTAAGTAGTTTTCAAAAGTTGCATTTGATGTAACTATATTGACCCCATTGTTTGTTTATACCATGATCGATAATCAGAGTCCATGTTTTTTGCTGAGAACAGTTGCAAAATGGCTGTGTTTGTTTTCTGTTTGTGTTTATGAACGGATGTCAGAAGGCCTTATCCTTAAACATCAAAATAGTAAGCGTAGACTGTTGTCCCATGATAATACTTTATCTTACTCTCCTAGAGTTGTGCATTTAAAAGGGGATACTTTTAATCTGGCTTGGCTTTAATCATTAAATATGACATGTGAATGGGATCTATTAGAATTTACATTGAGTTGTGATGGTTAACTCTAGGTTACTAAGGAGACTTGTAGGATTTTTCTTTCTAGGACAGACCTTAAAATACAGCTAATGCTCAAGTGTTAAAGGGTTGTTTACATTTGTATGTTAATAGGATACATATGCACTTAATTCTCCAACATCCCAATGCCACCCTCTCTTGGAGAATTGAACAACATGGTTCTCTGAGTGTGTTATAGACATGTACTCACCCCTTATCATGGCCTAAAGCCACTGATGGGATGGGGGTGGAGGAAGCTTATTTGTGTGACCTGTGAAGTAGCTTGATATGAAAATATGAGCTGAACAACGAGACTCCATTTGTCAGGGCGTCTAACTAGGGCCTCCTGACTGACAGGCGCCCACAGCCACCCTTCCGGGCGGGAGATTTAGATGCCAATGCTAGGAGCAGATGACAAGGCTGGTGGCGTTTTTTAAGGGAGGAGACACGGTGCAGAGGTTATTACACTTGCAAACTGGGGAGGCCATCAGTCCCACTGTGGACGCCAAGACCCTCTCGCCCGGAGTTCTGGGAGTGTCTGGGGCACCGTTGGCAGCGTCCCCCCCTGGGTCTGGTGTGAGCGCTCCAGGATGCACCAGCGTGCCCCTTCTCCTTTCTCACGCGGCTGCCTGCAAGAAGCCCAGCACCCCACGTCACGCCTGGTCACCTGGACTCTACTTCTCACGGGCCCTGGAGGGTTGAGGAACCCTCCCCTCTGCTAAAGCATGTGCTCCAGGCACCCCAGCACTCCCTCCCGGGCTTGTCTTTATTTGTTCTCTATAGAACTTTTCATCGCCAGAAATACTGTGTGTGTGTGTGTGTGTGTGTGTGTGTGTGTGTGTAAACTACCATCCAGGTCCGTGCTGTTAAGTGCATTCATACTGTTGTGCAGCCAGCACGACCATCTGTCCACAGAACTCTTCATCTTCCCAAAGTAAACCTCTGTCCCCCTTATACAGCAACTGCCCGTCCCCTCCTGCCCCCGGCTGCCATTCTACTTCCTCTCTGTGTGAATTTGATGACTCCGGGTACTTCGTAGGGGTGGAATGATACGGCATACAAACACAAAGTTTTAGGAATGACTTATTTTGCTCAGCATAGCGTCTTCAGGGTTCATCCATGGTGTAACGTGTGCCAGAATGTCCTTCCTCTCGGGGGCTGAGTAATACTCCATTGCATGCATATACCACACTTTGTTGATCTGTTCGTCCGTCAGTGGACAGTTGAGTGTCTTCTGACTTGTGGCCGTTGTGAATAGTGCTGCTATGAACAGGACCCTGCTTTTAATTACTGGGGGATATATATACCCGGAAGTGGAGTTGCTAGGTCGAATGGTAATTTTGTGTTTCACTTTTTGAGGGACGGCCAACCTGTTTGCTCAGCAGCTGCACAATTTTACGCTTCTACCAGTGGCGGACAAGGTTTCTAATTCCTCGACAGGCTTGCCAACGCTTTTGTTTTTCTGTTTTTGTGGGGTTTTTTTGTTTTGTTTTGGTTTTGGTTTTTAAGAGTTGCCATCCTGATGTGTTTGAGAGTAATATCTCATCAGGGTTTTGATTAGCATTTTCCTATTGAACAGTGACATTCATCTTTACGTGTGCTTATTGGTCATTTGCAGATCTTCTTTGAAGAAATGTCTGTTCGATCCTTTTCCTATTTTTTAATCAGGTTTGTTTGTTTTTGGCTCTTGTAAAATACTTTATATTTCATCTGTCTCCCTCTAGTTTCTCAGAATGTATGGTCCATGGATACAAATCTGATTTTCACCAATCAAAAGAGTGAACCGAGGGTGACGTAAGTGTGAAGAGAAGCCGTGATGATAAGGCATTGCCGGGCATGGGTGCTGGTGCCAGCTCTTCTCCAGCTACCGGATGAGTTAAAACAGTGATCAGATCTGACAAGTTAAAAAATTTCAAAATTACCCACAAGGCTATTGTCATGACCATGAATCTTATGCTAAATGTATATGACACCTTAAAATATTACCTGCGGTGCTATGAAATTACAGGACTTAGTGAGACTTTAGGAACTGAGAGTCCCACTGCTGCTGCCACGCAGGAGACTTCAGGAGTCACTGCCAACGTCCCGCTTCCCTTCACGTGGGAAGCTGGGACAAGATAGTGGGACGTGGAATCCGTCCCCTGTAGGAAAAGGAATAGCTCTGTCTCTTCTCTTGTTGATAGAATCAGTCCAGAATCCCCATAAGAAAGGAGTCTGAGGAACGTAGCTTTAAGCCTTCCAGTCCCTGTGAATTTGGGGAAGGCCCGGGAGGAGGTTGGAATTGGTTCCGGGGGTTGACCCCTTAATTGCCCCTTGGCCTTGGTTCTTTTTGGGGCGGGGGGGGGGATTGGGGCCCCGGATTCTTCCGGGTTTTCCTTGTTTTGGTTGATTTTTTAAATTTGGCCTTTTACGTTTCATTCGTTTTTTTTCGTTCTTTTTTGTTGCCGGTTGGATTGCCCCGGGGCTTCTTGGGGCCCCCCCCCAGGTTGCTTTTTTTGTTCTTTTTTTTTTTTTTTTGCCATGGACTTTGCCGTTTTTCGGTCTGAAGGGTGGTGAGGGTTGCTCATTGGTTAGGGGACCGGGCTTGGGGCCCTCGATGGGGTTTTATTCCTGCTCTCTGCACTTAAAAAAGCCTTTGTCTGACAGTAAATTCTCATCGTAGGTCACAGTTACTATTTATTTTCAGTTTTTCTTTTACAAAAGCCCAGTTTTCCAATTTGATCTTTGCTGACAGGTGGCTCCACGGTTAGCTATCTATGATACGTGTAAAATATGTCGGCACATGGGCACGGACATACCGTCGTGGCTTGTTGCTTCAAGAGGAAGGTGATGTTTTCGTGGGCGATGTGATTGGGGAGGGCTTTCTTCGGGTATGGAGAGAAAGAACGCTTTGAAAAGCTACATTTACAAATGCTTGTATTGTTTTGTGATTTTTAGCGCAGAAAATGCAGGTCCCATAATTTAACCAGAATGCTACGCAGCCTCCCCTCAGTGACAAATACTCACACCTGTTGAGTGCTTATTATGAGTGCTCAGCACTCAACATGAGACACCTCTCTTAACCCTCCCAGCAGCTCTTAAAGGCCAGGAAACATTCTTTTTTCAAGGCTGTTACTAAAATATTTGTTAGAAAATGTATGTTTTTTTTCTGCCACCCTGATAATAAATTCCTGATAATGTTTACCTACTTAGTAAGATCACTTTATAACTGCACTTGCGTAACAGCGTGTCTGCATGAAGGCAGTAAGATTGTGGTATACTAGAAATGTTGCCTGAGCAAGTTTTCCCTCGTTTATTTTTAGGCAAGTTCAATAATACTTTCAGTCTCTCAAAGATACTTACATTTTAAGGCAGAGAGGCTGTCATAAAGTGTTTTTTTCTTACTGGCCAGTAGTAAATGTTATTGAGTGATGCACACAGGGTTTGGGAACTTGGCTGGCAGGCAGGGGAGAGGTGGTTGGGGAAATGCTCTCTACTATGATGATCTTTGAGCAGCCTTGCAGGGAGGCAGCTAGGAGGCTGTCTGTGTAGGAGACTGTGCATCCCACTTTGCCTGTGACGATCTCAATTTGCATCTGTTGTCCTGGTGTAATTTTAGGAGTGCCCCTTTTCGTTCCCCAGAGTGCCCTGGTTCGGAAGGTAAAGTTATATCATCAGCCCGTGTCTGGAGGCATCGTGTTTCAGGCAGAGATGGCCAGCCAAGTGCAAAGGCCCAGGGCTGATGCCTCCTGTTGTATTGAAGCAGCCCATGGCTGGAGTGCGACAGATGACAAAGAGGGTGGCAGAGGGAGCTGGAGAAATAGCCTGGACTCTGTCCTCTAGCCATGCAGGTCATTGCTAGGACTTGCCTTTTATTCTGAGTGAAATGGGAGTCACTGGTGGAATCGTAGAAGAGGGACATGATCCAGTTTACCTTTAAATGGGTGTTTGGCTGCTAGAGTAGGTATAGGCTAAAGGGAGGTAGAAGTGGAAACGGCAGCCAGGTAGAGCTGGGGCCCTAATCCAGCTAAGAGAGGGGGGAGGGTTGGGCCGGGGGGAGGGATCAGTATTGGTGATGGAGATTGTGAGATTCTGGGTGTACAGTATTTTGGCAGTAAAGCTGGCAGGGTTTGCTGACATACTGAGTGTGGGATAAAAGAAGGATACAACTCCATGCGGGTGAATCTGAGCACTGGGAAGGATCAAGTCGCCATGTCCAGGATGAGGAAGGCCACAGGAGGAGCAGGTGTGGTGGTGGACTCAGGAATCCTTTGCAGACATTTGAGGGTTGAAGTGACTCTTAGACATCCCCAGGGCAGTTGAGCATACGTGTCCGGGAGTTCAGGGGAGAGGTCTAGGATGGAGAGAAATACCTGGCCAGTGTGGCAATTTAAAATCTAGGAGACTGCATAAGACCACCAGTATGGATTAGAGGCAACAAAGAGATGTTGAGAATTCGTTGTTTAAAGGCTTGGGAGATGAGAGCCCGTGGAGGAGATCAAGAAAGTATGGCCATTGAGTAGATGGAGAAATGAGAGAGGGCGTTTTGGAAACCAGTTAGATCAAAGTCTTTCAAGAAGAGGGGAAAGGACCACTGTACTGAATGCTGCTTATGGGTCCAGCGAGATGAAGTCCGAGGAACAGTTATTGGATTTAGCAATGTGAAGGTCATGTATGACCTTGTTGGAGGCTGT